ATGAAATTTGAGTAAGCCTCTTTTGGGGTTAAGAAAGTGGCTCAAAATTTCATTCCTTATGTATAGAAAATCTATAAACAAAAGAACTTTCTAGAGATACTTTATCATGGTGATTTAGGTACCTCCATTCCTGTTAAGCCCATTCTGGTGGGATGGCATCCCCCATTAAATGGTTGTGTCAAAGTCAATATAGATAGCAGCTTCTTATGTCCCCATGTTGGCATGAGAGGTGTTTTCAGGGACTATAGAGGTGTTCGTTTGCTATATTTTCAGTCACCTACCTTTGCTAGTGACCCTCTGGAAGCTGAAACTTTGGTAATCTATTGGGCCATTCTTCTTCCCAAAATTGTTGGTATGTTGCAACTATGGGTGGAATTAAACTCAAGCACTTTTATTAGTATTGTGAAGGGCTCTGAAGACATCCCTTGGCATCTGGTCTATCTGTAGAATGGAATTCAGCAATTGGGTCAGGGCCTACAGATCACTTATTCTCACATCCACAGGGAAGGAAACAGACCTACTAATTGGTAAGCTAGAGTGGGGTTTCACACTGATCATACCCTTATTAGTAAATCTGTCTCCCCGCCCTCTACTGAAGTTACTCATGGAAGGGTATCTATTATCCCTTCCTTTTGTTAGATAATCTTTTCATAGGCTTCACTTTGATGGGCCCACCCTATTGTTTAATTAGGGGCCCCACTTTTTGGCTTGTAACTCTGTTGTCTTTTTAATCTAATGAAATTGTGTTAACCTCGCTTTTAGTTGAGGTTTAGTTTTTTCTCTTTAGTAGCCTAAGGCCTATCCATATGACTTTCTTATTGACTAATCTTAGAAAACTAGAAAAGGACCATTAGAAACTCTACACTCCTCTTTACTCAACTTGAAGTTCAACATATTAGTCCTAACCTCTAGCACATAGTAGGTGGGGTCATTATGGGGGAACTCAAGATGAGTCACCCTTAGGACTACTTGACCTTAGGGTTGACCCTGGGTGTTGGTCTAGGGCTTAAGATACATATTTGCACTCACAATCACTCACAATCCTAAACTTAAACTTCTAGACTTTAGAACCTTGATACTTTTGGGAGACTCGTGTAGGTGGTCCCCTAAACCCGCTAGCCTTAGGCTAGGTTTTAGCTAAGACCACTACATAGAGGACCCAAAATGGGGTTTCCATTGGTCCATGGCTTATTGATGGTGGTTGGCACTCCAACTCTACCAAGATACCCAACCTATGCTTTTGCCCCAAAATACCCCCAAATTACCTAGATACCCTTGGGACCCCAAATTTGGCCATAATTTCAAAATTTACCCAAAATACCCAAGTTGGTTCAAAAATCATTTCAAACACCTTAAAAGCACCCAAACAACCCAAAATCACCAAAATTGGCCAAATTACCAAAATGCTTCCTCCTTAGCCCAAGATTCCAAAAATTCCAAAAAAATCCCAAAAATTCCCAAAACCTCCCAAATATTCCTAATTTCATTTTTATCTATCACATGACCCAATTTGTCCAATTTGACCAACTTTGATCAAAACCCCCAAATTGCCCTCTAAAGGCAAATATTTTCCCCAAATCACTCCAATTTTTATCAAATTGGTCTCAATTTACCCTAATTTCAATTCTAAACTCAAATCCACTCTTGATGTGACCAATCTAGATCAAATCCAAGCTCAATTAGTCCATCATTTGAACCCAATTTTGATTTATATCAAACCCCCAATTTTGGCTCCATGACTTGGTTCCACCAAATTGAACCCATAGCCCTCTCAATTGGCCATAGTTTGTGTTGAAAAAACATTCATAACATCCCCATACATCAAATTTGATCTTCAATTAGACCTTTTTGAGGCCTCAATTTCATTTAATTTCAACCTTTGTCCAAAAAGCCCCAAATTTGCCCCAAATTGGCCATGTCTCAAAATCTCACCAAATTGATGGTCTTAGCCCCAAAATTTCCACTCTATCTCTTCATGAAAAATATTCACAACATCTCCCTTGATAACATGTACCTTGATTATTTGAACCATTCAATTTGGACTTAGCCCAAGGCTAGCCCAACATGCCCAAATTAACCAAATTTCAAAAATCCCTCCAATTGAACTCAAAACCACCTCAACCCTTCACCAAAAATCTTCATAAAAATCATCTACACAATGTTGAGCCGGAAAAGGCTTTTTTTGCTCTATTTGCAGTAACTTTTGCATCATTCTAGCAAAAGTTTGATTAGCAATTTGTATATAATATATGATTCATCCCATATCATGCATTTAATAGTTTAATCAATTGATGTTAGTTGTAAAACATTATAGGCTATAATAATGTTTTAAAAACTGGATGGATCGGACAAGCCTTTCCAACCATGAATCGGTACTCAACCCTCAGGTTCAAAACCAGATACAAAAATCAACTAGAGTCATCAAAAACTCACGGGTCAACCAACAAGCAAATAATGAACCAAATGAGGGAGCGATTTAGTTTTAATAATTACTGATTTTTAGGGTTTAGGGGATGGGGATATACAAGCCGAAAAGGCTTTTTTTGCTCTATTGCAGTAACTTTTGCATCATTCTAGCAAAAGTTTGGAGAGCAATGGAGAGCAATTTGTATATAATATATGATTCATCCCATATCATGCATCTAATAGTTTATGTTTAGTCAATTGATGTAAGTTGTAAAACATTATAGGCTATAATAATTTTTTAAAAACTGCATAGATCGGACAAGCCTTTCCAACCATGAACTGGTACTCAACCCTCAGGTCGAAAACCAGTTCTACAAAAATCAGCTAGAGTCAACGAAAACCAGTTCTACAAAAATCAGGGGTCAACCAACAAGCCAATAATGAACCAAATGAGAGAGCGATTTAGTTTTAATAATTACTGATTTTTAGGGTTCAGGGTTTGTGGGGGGCGGCGGGGGATATACAAGCCAAAAAGGCTTTTTTTGCTCTATTTGCAATAATTTTTGCATGATCCTACCATAAGGTGAGCAATTTGCATATAATATATCATGCACCTAATAATTTAATCAATTGATGTTAGTTGTAAAACATTATATGCTATAATAATGTTTTAAAAATCGAATGAATCAGACTAGCCTTTCCAACCATGAACCGGTACTTAACCCTTATGTCCAAAACCAGCTCTACAAAAATCAGCTAGTCAATAAAAACTCACGAGTCAACCAACAAGCCAATAATGAACCAAATGAGAAAGCGGGTCAGTTTTAATAAAACTTATTTTGGCATTCTTATTTTGTTTTGAAATATTAGAGAAAAAAACATACTTGAAAATTAAGGAAATGGTTAAAATATCATATCCTATTATTATAATTTAAATTCATATTCAAAATTTTTAAAACTTCAATATTCTAAATTAAAAATGAAGCTTACTAAATAATAAAAATATTATCATTCTGTCTTCTAACTTAAACTAAAATAACTGATATTTTTATTACAAATTTAATTTTAGCTCCAGTTGAAAGTTCCAACAGAAACTTAAATATTTATTTCTTCCGGCTTAATTTATGATCTGAAGGAAACTGAAAACATTTACATGTGTGGTCAAAATATTTGAGTAATATGTTATTTAGCCTGACTAAAACTGGCTGTAACTGGAGAAATTATTGCATACGGACACCGCGTGCATCTCTACATGTGGTGTCCAATCCTGGCAGTTGATCAGGATATATTTCAATTTTAAAAAAAAAAAATTAGGTGGGGCCCACTGAAATACATCACGACCATAGACCACCTGATTTACGGTCAGGATCGGACATCGCATGCAGAATGTCCATCCGTATGCAATAATTTTTCCTGTAACTGACGACAGTGGAATGTATAATTTAATAATCAAAAGATCCCCTTACATTACACGTAACTGAAAAAGAAGAAAAAATTACACAATCAATATGTGGCCACATTAAAAAGGAATCGGGTCAAATCATACAATTTTCAGTAGAATATAGAGCCCCACATGCACACTCCAATAATACAAGCAGTTCAGATTTGGTTCAGATTCAGGAGAAAATTGAGTTCAGATAAGCAGTTCAGGTTTGGTTCAGATTTAGCAGAAAATAGAGTCCAGATCTGCACACTCCAAAAATACAGCATTATATTAAAAAAAATATGAAAAAAACTATTCTTTCGTGCGATCCTGCCCAAAAACCCCTCGTATCGAAAAAAAACCACCATAATACCAACAACAATACTGAAGATACTTTAGTGATATTCTGACAGTATTTTTGATATTCTGGAGATGATATTATGGTGGTATTCTTATAATATTCCGGTGATATTATAAAGATATTTTGGTAATATTGTGGTGGTATTTTGATGATATTCTAGTGACATACTAGTAGTATTATGCCAGTATATCTTAATACCACTAAAATACCTCTAAAATACCGCAATAATATCACTACAATATCACCACAATACCATAAAATCATCATAATAACACCAGAATATCACAATAATATCACAAGAATACTTATCATAAGAATACCGCCAAAATACTATCGGTATTGTTGGTATTATGATGGTTTTTTTATTCGATGCAACGGACCGTCTTCAAGCCAGTTCATGTGAAAAAAAAAAATTTCATGAAATATGAAATTAATACAAATATTCAGAACCCACCACTTCAAAAAAAATTTCATGAAATATGAAATTAATACCACCAAAATATGACAGATACTTTGTAAAATTTCATGTTTTTTAATTCGCAAAATCAGATCCCACCACTTTATAAATTGCGTTGTATAATTGGATCCGCACATCTAGACTCCAGACGCAATATTTTCTCTAAATTCAATTAGTTCTAAATAAATATGCAGAACATGAATTTAAACAAATTAATAAGGTAAATAAGTTGAATAATCTTGCTAGTTGTATACGCCTCAATAAATATGCCACACTTGATTGTACAAAAATCGATAGAAGCGTTCTTAAATAAGAAAGACAAATTACAATAGATAAGCTACTAAAAACACGACAAGCATTTATAGAACAGTTTGTCGACACAATAAGAGGGTCATAAGCAAGATAAAGAATAATAATAATAATAATAATACCAAGTTTATTATTGCTTTGGCTTTTTCATTTATAAGCCGTCCTACAAAAATCATTTTCAAGTATTACTGATTGGCAAGGCAAGCCAACTTGAGTATGCCATCTCAATTCGATGACATCAGTTCGCTTCACCCACAGAATCAGTGCAAGAAAATTCGGCAAATTTGACACTCCCAACTGACGCCTGATTAGCTGCACGATTGCTTCCATAGTTCTTTCGATTGGATTCTCTTGCTATTCTTGAACCAAACTGGAAAATTTGAGCTTAAAATGATAAAGTTGATGTCCATTTTCACACAAATTTCACAACGACGCTCCAAGAAGAATATGTCAAAAACTCAAGGTAATTTATGTACAAAAAACGATAGACAATACATTGATAACATGAGAGGAAAAAAATAGTAAAGATTTGACCAAAAAAGTTAAAACAATAGTAACTCATAGACGGTTGCAAACGGAAAACATAACATTGTTTAAAACATATTATATAGCACCCAAGGGAGATCAAAGTTCGGGATATGGCTAATGATGAAGATGATTTGCATGCAAGTGACCGTATATTTAACATTCAATTCGACAAAAGGATAAAAATATGAATAAACTGCATCGTCAGAAAATAATTCTCATCAGGGAAAGGACATAGATTTTGTAGTGCACTTGAGAAGAATAGTACCTGAATGGCTCTTTTTGGCCTAGCAGCTGCCGCTTCTAGGCAAGGTAGTCGAGCCACCTTTAAAAAACAAAAAAGTGAAACTGTCAGAATCTACAAAAAGAACATAACTAAAAAGTCATTTCCATCTCTAAGGAATGGCACTGTCACCCATCCATTGGGCAAAATAAGAAAACCAAAGCACTATATGATTGTATCAGAGAAGACGTTTTAATTTTACAAAGTTATCAACCATATGATTGCTTAAAAGGTGTGAACTTTTACATATAGATGCCGAGTGTTGAGATAAATTTGTTGGCCAAGTGGATGATGTAAATGATACTGTTAGGAATTGGCACAATTTTATATAAAAATTAGGACGAACATATATTTTATTGCAAGAAAATGAACATTCAACACAAATATCAAGATAACCACAATTCGAGGGGTAGGCGACCCCTCCAAATTCCTACAAGTCGAGAGGTAGGAAATCTCTCCCAAGATAGCCCTATGACTCAACGATAATCTCATGCATAACCCTAACCCCAACCCTAAACATATTAGCCCTATCAAAACCATAAGATTAAATTGCCCTTAGGCTAATGAAAGATAAATTTTCCCTTAATTGTCAATTTAAATTTACTCCCCTCACAAAAAAGAACTCGTTGTCCTCAAAGTGGAAAAAAATGATGGTGCTCCTCCACCACAACTTCCTCTACTTCTTCATCCCCTACCTATTCATTACAAACTGTGAGAACCTGTAATGTTCAATTTTGCAACGGTGTTCTGGGGTACATTTCTCATAACACCAAAAACATAACCCATGGTCTGCTTCTCTTGGATCTCTCTCTCTCTGTAAAGCGTTAGAGTATCGTCCGCGTTTGTGACCCATGATTCTTATCGTGTAAAACTTCTCCCTCTGGAATTCCACTATTTGCACTATTGGTGTCATCATAGTTGTCACAATTCGGTATGGTGCTCCATTTATGTTGCTCCTATTAGCAAGTGTCATTGCATTATGATCCTCAACCAACTACGCTAATTCCATAGTTTATCTCATGTCTTGTGGTCTCAACGGACGAGGTATTGCACGTATGTCGGGCTTCAGAACCTTCATAAAATTTTCTGCAATACTGCTTCAGAAATCACCCTTAACAGTCCCGATAATAGCTCGAATTTCCTATACTCCATAGCAATCACTTCCTGAGTCAATACAAAGAATTGCTCATGTAGGTCTCCTTCCCGAATGACTTGGAAACATTCCAACAAGTAAACCTTGAATTCTTCCCAGGTTCAGATTGGTTGAATTTGTTCTTTCCATTGGTACCATGTTAGAGCCTTTCTTTTTAAACACAGAGCTATAACCATCCATTTTTCTTCCTTTATCAACTTATTAACATCAAAGTATCTCTCCACGTGGTAGACCAAATCGCAAGCATCCTCTTATTTAAATAAGCATCCTCTTATTTAAAGATTGGCATCTTCAACTTCCTTATACGTAAGTTCCTTGCCAATTTAAACAAAGTTCGGGCCACCCATAAAGCAAGGGTTGGGTTCCCTTCCTTAACCCATATTGATTTCTCTTCTTCCATAAGGCTCATTCACGTAGTAATTAACTCACCCTCCCTCATAGACTTTTGAATCTCCTTTTGCCCGAAAAGCTATTCTGATAAAATCCAATGACGCCGTCAGAAACAACCCTTAGTTGGGGTCCCACTCACCGTTATTTCCTATTTTGGGTTGAAATCCTTCAAATTAATCTTCTATAGCGTTGAATTAAATGTCGACCCATTTGTCCTGTTGATGCTCATTCCAGTCGTCTGGATGTGGCATTATCCCAACTAAGCGTTGCAGTTCAAGCAAGCTTCTAATTCCTTAGCTCAATACCACTGCAGTCGAAGGATGGTTGTTGTTAGACTCTACGATCTTCTCAATCATTTCTTCTAGGGATGTGATCCACCCCTACAACCTTCCCTCTATTGCCAAGAAATGCTTATCTATTCCAAATCTGATTTGACTAATCTCTTCCAATTTTTTTTTCCAAATCATCTAGTTTCGTGGCTATCATTACTCCTTGTACGATTTCATAACTTTTTTAATTTGAAATCGCAAGGTTCAAAATTTTTGTACGCGGTTTCGACACGAGACTTTGGAAGCCGAGAACTGGTTGCCAGCCTCTCTCAAATTTGAATTCAAAATCGCAGCAAATCCTAATCACGCGAGCGGTGAGAACTACTTTACATCGCGATCCTGATCGTTGTTCTCAATCACGAATGGCACAGAACTCCTGTACGTCGCAATTTATTCACTTCGTTGAACATTTTTGTAGCCCTAAATCCCGTCGTTGGCTTCCCAACCAGGAAAAAATCACAACTATGAGTTTGTGCACAATCCCGATCATTTGCACTGTACGTCGTGATGTCCCCGTTGATTCGCAGAAAGCTCTAATCACGACTGAATTGTGCCTTCTCCACAAAATAGCATACCACAATCCTGTCATTACCTTCTTCACAAAGAAGAGAGTTTCAAGTATCTGTAAGCCGGGATTCCGTCATTGCCTTCTCTGTCAAATCAAGTACCACGAACTCGTTGGTTTCTTCTCTGTGAAGAAAGAAGAGTTTTGGGTCTTTAGTATAAGTCTAGATCCCATCGTTACCTCCTCCGCAAGCTTTAATGGTGACTGTATAACGATCCCGTGTCTTGCACTATGCTGAGATATCGTCGGCTGCTTCTTGCTTCTCCTATTAATTATTTTTCAGAAATCTTGCTCTGATACCAAATTGTTATGATTAGGCACAATTTCACATAGAAAGTAGGGTAAACATATATTTTATTGCAAGAACCTCAACATTTAGCACAAATACCAATATAAGCACCTACGATGCAAGTAGGGGTGTAAACGAGCCGAACACGAATAAGCCCAGACTCAGCTCGTGTTCAGTTTGTTTATATTTCGTACACAAAAAGTGCGTTCGTGTTCGACTAATTTGCTTAGCGAGCCGAACACGAGCTACTTACGAATAAATAGTCGTTTTGACAACACTAATCACGTAGTCATAAGATGTTAAGAGTTGGGGCAATATTTAAAAATTATTGTTTATATTAAAACATCATTTAAATCTAATTTAATATTCTTTCTTCTGCTTTTAACTGATTACAAATCTTTGCAGCCTTGTAGTCAATTAATTTTTTAAAAAATACTACTTATCAATTAATTAATTAACTAATTATATATAATATATATATATATATATATATATTATTTCGAGTCAAAACGAGCTGAACACGAACGAACAAATCTATAGTCGTGTTCGCTCTTTAACTTAGCAAACGAGCCGAACGCGAGCTTCTTAACGAGCCGAACACAAGTTGTTCGCCAACAACGAGCCGTTTTGGCAGCCCTAGATGCAAGAGACAGGCGATCTCTCCAAATTCATATAATTCGAGAGGCATGAAATCTCTATCAAGCCCTAACCCTAATCCTAAGACTCAAATCAATGATCTCATGTATAACATTAACCCAAAACATATAAGCTCTATTTATACTAAACCATAGTAAATGACAAAATACAAAATTGTATGTAGGCTAATAAATGACAAACTTACCCTTAGGTGCCAATCTAACAGATACCTAATTTAGTAATACTAAAGTTTCATGAGTAAATACCTCTCTCAAAATCTTCTTGTCACCTTTTCCCCCTGGTTCATCCAGCTTAGCAATGTCCCATAAAGGGATTTCCAGTAAGGTTTGAATAACTTCCTCATCCAGAAAAGGAAATCTAGCCTGCAAGTTTCATATGAGCGCTAGTAAACCCTTGAAATATTTGGTGTAAAGTTGATTTAAGTAATACCTCCTTTCCATGATCAGATATCAATCTGTCATCTCGGCCCATATTTCTTTTCCAGATTCTCTGCATATCCAATCTCATTTCTTCATGAAGTGCACGCCATCTAACAAAAGTTACACATTAAAAATAGAAGAAAAAAAAATAATAGTAATTCAATGAGCTTGAAACGAACAACTTTCATTATAATGGAAAAAGATTATGAACAAATAGACATAACTTACAGGCAATTTCTTCTAGCAAGTACTATTTTGGATAACAGGATTTGGAATTATTGTTTAATTATGTCAAAAATTCTATGCTACATATAAGATTACTAGAATAGTAGATGCGAATGAGAACTCATCACTTGGGTATGTTTTTGATATAATATGTATAGAGCCAAAAAAGTAATTAAAGGTATTATTAAAAATGTAAAGAAATTATACAAGCCATATACAAGCATCATTAAGTGATGAAATGCTCAACTTCGTCAAGGTATTCACTCAACTGCAGCATTTTTGAATATGCACTTTTAGTATGATCATGAAAAATTTTGTCAGAAACCCAAAGTGATGCATGATTTTGGTTAAATTTATTGGTAATAAGGATACATGTGACAAGACTACATTTGCAATGAATGAGGTTAGACTTTACCGAGAAAATTTTGATTGTTTTGGAAAGCCAATTGCTCTATCTATGAAAAAAAAAATAAAATCAGGTAAGGTTTCACATATCAATAATGAAACTTATTTCTAAACTTGCAATGAATTAAATCTTTTTTTTTTGCGTTTTTTAATTAATCATTATTAATATTATGCAGATGAATGGTGGAGAATATTCGATTCTAGTGCTCAAAATTTATACAAGTTGATTATTCATATTCTTAC